AAAATAAGACGCTTTAAAGATGGGTATCTGAGAGACATACCTGTAAAGCTGTTAGCCTGCAGAGCACAGATTGATACTCAATCACTACGTATAATGAGTTCTAGTTTATTCCATCCTATCCCATTCTATTCTATCCCATTCCATTCACCACCTTTGAAAATGCACCTTACCAGGTATGCATCAAGCAGTACACCCCACATCTGTCTCACACAGCCAACTTCCTCTCTTGCTTCTCTCTTTGCATTGCTAATGCTCAGCTTGTTAGATTTCTAGATGCCTGCACTACTCTGCCTGTACACGAGTAGAAGTCCTCTGTGAAAGCAGGCTGCACTGCAGGGTGTTGGACCCAGGGGTGGTGATGGAGAGGGCTCTTCTCCCAATGCTGAGAAACGCAGGAGACAGCATGCAGAAGAGCCTGTCCCTGGCTCTTATGGGTTGCTCACACCTTGCCATGGCAAAGGGTGAGTAGTGGCTGTAACGAAGTATTTGGGTTAAGGAAGGTAGGAATGGTTATGGCTACAGAGCACTCTGCATATGGGAATCTCAAACAGCCTGATGCAATTAAGATTCGCCAGTGCAGAAAAAAAAGCAGAGCTCAACTCATCATTTGCATGCCAGAAAAACTTCATCTTGGCTTTTTCTTGCCTGTTTTCATATTCTGCAGTAGCTTGGCAGCTCTTAGAGAGGACCCTGGGGAAGCAGTGCGGTGGTCACGGGGAGGGCAATGCAGCCAGGGCTGGAACAACGCTCAGGGTGAAAAAGGGCTGTGCTCATCTCCATGTGTTGTCAGGAGCAAAGGCTCTCCATGAATCCCCAATTAACCAGGGGGTCTTGGCTGACTTTGTCTCCCCCACCCCTCAGTATTGACATGAGGAGCTGCATCTTGGCAAGACAAAGTCAGGAGAAGCTCCTTGAGTTCCCTAAAATTCCCATTCAGGTTGCAGGGTTTATTCCTTAGTGCCTCTCCAGTAGGAAAGAACACTTCCTCCAGAAGGGCTGCCTTCGTCGCAGTGGGATTTAGGGAGCTGCTCGATAAAATGGAGCCTGGCCAACCATTCAGCTGCAGATGAAACCCCCTTCTCCACTCTGCTCTGCTGCAAGAGACAAGCGCTCCTCGGAAATTATTCCTTCTTTTCCCCTCCCTTGAAGCACTTCCTGTAAACCAGAAGATATATGACTGTTTCAAAGAGTTTTAATACTTTTACCAGTAACTCCGCGGCGCTGCTATGAAGAAGTGAGGCATTGCGGGTGAAGAAGTGCATGGCAATTTAGAAGATTTAATAGAAGTCGATTTTACACTGACACACATTAACATTCACACGGACTTGATAAGAAAAAAAAAGCACCACCCAGTATTCTTGCAGCTATATGATGCTGTTTGCCAAAGCCTTTAGTTATAATTAGTCAGATTAAACTCCATCCATGGATAGCTTCAACTCCATCCAGAAACGCTACCTCACTTTCTATTTTTACAAACCACGCTGACAATAAGCACTCTCACATCTGACAGGATATATTGTCTTTGCCCATTGCCTCTTATAACCTGACAGTGAAAAATGTACACTTCAGCATCCAGGGAGTCGTTTGTTACCTCTCCACCTCCTTCTAATTAATGAAAACATAAGGGAAAGAAACAATAACCAGGTCTACTGTTCAGGCAGAAAATGATTATTGCTCAGATGAAATAAAACCCAGTATTTTTGGCACCTGATTGCCTCAGCAATGACATAATCAGCAGGGATTTTTACTGACTATGCAATAAAGCTACATAGAACTATAAATGCAAAATACTTAAAGGTTTTCCTCCCCACTCCTTCCTTTGCATGTAGTTACACCTACCATAAAGGCTATCTGCACGATGACACAAAAGAGCTTGCGCTTTATAGACAAATGGTCTTGATACAGAAAAGTGAGAGGTTGGACCCAAAAAGGAGGCCAGCCTGGCTTCACTGATGGAGATGTGTTGTTTGGCATGGAGCACTTTGATTGCTGTATTTGAGCCAGGTAACATATTTTAGTGCTGGTACATGGGGAAATGATTGATACAGATGAAATCTGGAATGCAGCAAAGCACTGCCCAGGGTTTTACTCCAATGTGAGCCAGCAGAGGGGCCATGGGGGCTGGGGAAAGCACATTCACTGACACAAAATGGGTTTCCCCAGTGGCTTTGGGGTTTCTGCTGTGAAAGGTGGGGGCTTCCCCAGCCTTTTTGGGGTTTAATTTTCATGAACACTACACCTGGCCAGGGCATTTCTGCTTGTGATGTTCGCACCCAAGATCCACCTCCGAAACCTCCCTGGGGTACCTGAACTCATCTCAGAAACCTAATTTTCCCATTCATCTTCCATTCCTTGGGACTTTTTATGGAAATTGCCTGCATACAATGACTGTCCTGGCCTCATAAACACAGGGCAGGATTTTCTCAGTTGATCAAAATTGCTGACATAGTGCTATTCCATTTCTCAGAAAGCAAGTTGCAAATAGCTGTTGGGATGAGAACAGATGCCTTCATTACCCACCAGAAGTAAATGGAAAACCAGTGCAATCCAGAGGAAAAAAATAAAAGGAGAACAGCAGTGATATGATGATATTCCATGATATTCTAGTTCATGCTGTATGCTACTTTACTGCCTCATCTTGAATTAGGCTATGAACAGTGCAAGGTACTTTAGAACACCCAGGTACTAAACCCAGTCCTCAAGCAACCTGTGACTGTTTCATCTTCATTGTAAATCCAACACGTGGCTTGTACCAAGTATAAACAACACAGCAAAACAGAAAAGTGTCATTATTGACTGGACACAGTGGCTTGCAGTGATGGATACATGGCTACCTACAAGTAACTCACTCCAAAAAGGTTAAGTGTCTTTCATCCTGTTAGGAAAAGGATGGGTTCTCAAGTTAATAATTGTGATGCACAGCCAGAAATAATTAGAGACTGCAAGACGGGCAATCATAAATTACTTTTCTTTTAATAACATAAAGAAGGCAGAGTCGCAGAGGTAATAGAAAAGTGCAGCTCAAGCAGAGAAGTTCAAATGAAAAAATCAAGGCCAAAAGCATTTCTTTAATTCCCTTCTTGCACAAAGGACAATATAATATTCATGGTTTCCAATGGACTAAGTTTAACTACAGGTGATTTTTTCCACACTTATCTAAGGGAGGAGAGGAAGAAATAAAATCTTAATGTGGAGCTCTGCTGCCTATTTAAACCTATGAAATGTAGCACTGGAAAGATTTCCTTCACAGTCCGCAGGGGATGCTCTGACCGGGTGATGCTGGTTGAAGAGAAGGGTGGGTCTGCTCAAAGAAGCTGAATGCAGCTCGAAATTCCAGGAGAAATTCTGGATACCAGCCACAGATGCTAATGGGAGCACCAAAAGCGCATTTCTCTCACGGGATTTTCTTGGGATATAGCAAAGTGATATTTCTTCCATTGCTTGCAGACACATTGCCGGCCTCCTGCCCAGTTTGCTCCCAGAGCTGGTACGGAAGAAATTAATAGGCTTAACACAGGTGGTTGAGCTAACATGGGACAAATTATCCTACAGTGAGACTCTATAGGACTGACTGAGTGCCTGTCTTCAGAAGCTGTAGTTAGGGGAGATGAAGTTCGGTATGCAAGGAGCAGTGGAGTCTGGAGCAGGGAAAGCAAGATCATTGAAATCTGCTGAGTTGATGTTATCTGTTGCAGTGATTTTCTTTAATTACAGCAGCAGCTGAACATCCTTTTGTCTGTACAGTATGACAGACCTATTAAAACATAATGTAAAACTTGAAGCGCAACAAAAAGAGGTGAAATGATTCCTATATCACTGTGACTCTTTTGGGAAAGAGGAAAGGTTTTGCTTCCATGCCCAGACCCATCTTGCAGAGATAATATCAGTATTAGAATTACAATAGTATCTGAAAGTCCTGAGCTCTAGGTTCAGTTGACCTGGGCGGCATCAAGCAGAAACATGAGTCAACCTTTTACATGAATGTCATTAAATATAGTTTAATATATTTTCCAATAAGAATGTAAACATGTCTGAACCAAAAATGGGCTTGGTTTGAATTTTACAGATAATGTAGGCTGGAGGTTCCCGTGTGACTTCTAAGCAGGAGCCTGCAATTTGTCCTATTTTAATCTGACCCATCCATTTTGATGGGTAGTCTCATTAATACAGCACAGTTTTACATCAGAAATATCCCCTGATAATGATACGAAGCCTAATGCGTTCCTTCCACTCTGGAAAAAAATATGCTATGTGGTAAACATATTACACCTGGTGATCCTGAATGTAACTGATCGATCATCAGTTTTCAAAAGGGAAACCATCATTGGGTAGAAAATAGATCAGCTATTGAGCCAGACAATTATCTTCTCTCCTGAATGAGATGCTCCCTGCCAAACCGGAAAGAAACAGCTATTTGGCAGAACAGTAAATGTAACTAATACCTTTAGAACACATTGGACAAAATTATTTGTTAATAGTGCTCCCAGGACTGGAAAAGGTTGCAGGACCAAAGTACATGTCACATTAGTGGCATGAAAATCACTTCGGGGTGGTACAAGGCCCTGCTCTGAGTGAAGACCTATCACTGGTACCTGTTGAACAGCACTGTCCTCCAGTTCTCCTTGCCTCCATCAGGGCACTCTCCCGCATGGGGAAAGCAACACCAACACACCAGCATTGGGAATAGAGATGAGTGGTAGGGTTAGACAAGGTTGGCAAGCATGGGCTGAGCTCACCATTAGCTCACCACCACCTGCAGTGCTTGCACCACTCCATCATGCCTGGCTTACCTCTCATGCTGCCTGGTTGGAATTGTGGTGCAAGGAAACTCTCTCACCTGCGTGGCTCTCTTTGACCTTGCAGAAAAAACAAACCCAGTCTTTCCTGAGCTGCCTCTGACTGCCTCCAGGTGCTGTTCTCACCAATATAAGAAGTGGATAAAGCTGTGTTGGGTTAAATGAGCTCTGGCTGGGTGACTGGCTCACTGTTTCTGCAGAGATTTCAAGAGCAACACTATGCTTTGCTGCCCTGTGAGATATGGCTGCTGGGCTTGGCACAGACCCCATGCTCCAACCCAGCCCGGAGCAGAGCTCCTCACCAACCTGCTGCTATCTTCAACTCCTGCTGGAGACCTCAGCCTCAAACTAAAGGTAACGTGATAGAAATACTTCAACAAAATGAGATTATCAGCTATCTTTTAAAAGATGTATGTCAGCTTACATCAAACCCTTTGTTGGCTAATGGAATGTATCAGAGGGACACTGTCAAGGGGTTTGGGGCCTCAGGTTTGACCTCCCTTAAAATAGCCGGGAGAATTATTTGAAATCCAGATATCCTTTTTTTTTTAAGAGGAAAATTACATTCTGCCCTTGTAAATTTGATGCCTGAAAGTAAAGAAAGGTGAAAACAAAAGGAACATATCACAAGAGAAAGCAAAGTGTTAGGGTTTACAGAAACACAGGCATTTCTCCTTGTGCAGCTTCCAAGCCTGGCTGGCTGAAGCAGCCTGTTGCTGGAGCTGCACAGTCATTGCTGCTGAGGCTGATACACACGCAGAGAGATGCTGGCATGAAGCTCCCTTCCATTAACATATATTTTCTATGAATGGCACTGTTTGTCCTGCAGAGTGGAAAATCCCTCTGCTTGAAAAACTGGCCTCGAGGGACCACCTCTAAAGGAAAGAAAGACATTTATTCATCCAGGCTCACACGGTCTCGGTCCCTCTGCTGAGAATGACAACCAGCGTGACTCCGGGTGTCAGCAGAGGTCCTGGCTCAGGAACTGGGCGAGAAATATGGGGTAATTTGATGTTGACATGAAAACCTGTCACCATCTGAAACAGGGGGGGTGAGGGGGGAAATAACAGTGTTTGCTAAAAGGCAGAGGATAAAATCACTGGATGAAATGACTGCTTCGGAATGACCTTCTAAAAATACCTGCGGTGATCAGGCTGGATGGCTACGGAGCAGAAAGGTGGAGACTCTGCTCGGAGGGCAGGTCCTCCCTGGAGGAAGGCAATTCGCACCTTTGCAAGGTAATTTGCACCTTGCAAAAACCCTGTCCCCAAATAATGGTCATAATGAGCCACAAAGACGACAGACAAAAGGAGCCCTGCCCTTGTAAACAAAGGAGCAGGAGGGAAGGCTTCAGCAGCAAAGAGCTTGGTCATCATCCCTCTATAGCCCAAGGGCTAACGAAGCAGGCAGGCTGGGGCTCCAGCTTGGGCAGACCCAGGCAGTTTCTCTAGGTGCCAGTGTGTCTCCCCCAGTCACCTTCCCCTACAAAGCAGGCAATGATTCATTTGCTGCTCCATTTTCCCTGTGTCCAACGACACCTCCTTGAGTTTCCAAGCTTACTTGAATCCCTCTTTGCAGCAGAAGCCCTGTTTGCATTTCCCACCGCCTCTCAACAAGGGTGACTTTACTGATGGACCCATGGTAAGGTAGCATTTCCTATTCCTTGCAGAAATTCCTTCTGATTTCATTATCTCTTTGCTATTGGCAAGAGCACCAAAATGCAGCTGGGCCACCCCATGAGCCCATGTACACTCCTGATTTCCAATGCATTACTAGCACACTCCAAAACTCCATTCCAAGACACATGCAATAAAAATGAATTAACTGAGCAGCCATTAGGATGTAATGTGGTAGCGCTAAGGTGAGTCACAACCTAATTACTATTATTTCTAATGGAGTTACCGTGCCATTACTGCAGAACAACACACCTCAGCTCTACCTCCGAATGGGCACACACCTCATTGCACACGCACTGTGGTCCATGCTGGATCCAAGCTCAAAAATCAAGGAGAAATGATTGCTTGGAAAATTGCAGCCCCAAGTCAGATGTGTGCAAGACCCACACGTGCTGTTAGTGTTAGTTAGACTTGTTAGAAAAGCTGTGTCAGTGTCAATGGCATCAAAACGAGCCTTTTATTGACTGCAGGAAGTCTTAGATCAGGACCCTCAGGCTTCTTGAGGTGGATTCCTGAGGAAAGGGAGATTAAGCATTCATGATCTGTGGGCATTTCAGTAACTTTTGAACCTGAGAGCTAAATTCAGCCCATTCATTGGAGGAACAGCAGATAGAAGGTCATTGACTTCCAGCAGCCTGCAGCAAAACATGTGGCTGAGGCTAAGACATAGGCTTGTGATGGGCCCATGAACAAGGTGGCTGTGGCATGTGTTCTTGCTCTGGCTCCTCCACAGGGTTTGGGTTTGCTTCTCTCGGGACTCCTGATTTACAAGGTGGTCAATGAACTTTCCACAGTGTTCATTTCACTGCAGCTTTGGGGTGTGTTGCCTGGTTCCTGAGACATTCCCTGTGAGGAGCCTGCAAAGGCAGGGAATATGGGATGTGACATAAATGTATTCTGCTAATGCTGTAAATTAGTCATCTCAAATATGTATTTAATATAATAAGTTTGGAAGACAGCTACTGTAGGTTAAGTGGCAACTGACAGCACTTACAATGAGGATTAATATACATACGGGTCCTACAGGTTTGCTAAACTTCAACAACCATTTATTATAATCCACTGGTTCTTAACTTACACTTGAATGAATTGGGTAACGTTAAATAAATAGAGAAGCATGACCAAGAGGAATGGGCAAAAACCTGCCAGTGCCACTGTAAGCTCACAACTCATGAAGGGTATGTCCTAACAAAAACCAGCCTACTTAGGTTTGGCTCCAACACCAGTTGGTTTAAGAAGATTTTCATTAAAGCTTTGCATTCATTTCCAGAAGGGAATTTCTTTACAATTTTAGGTGACATGATCCTTTTCTGCCAGACCACGGCTAAAAGCTACTTGTGTCCTTCCTAAAAAGCAGGCTTTGCTCCAATTATTCCAACAATCCCAAGAGGTAATAAGTTATTCTTGCCTATATTGCATCCTGATGCAGCCTGAGAATGAAAAACTAACCTAACGTTTGCAGCTTGAGGAAGAAATAACATCTATTTTCCCTTATATTGGCTCCATATTTTTTAGGGAGAAGGAGCTAAGGCTATGGCTTTAAGTTTGAAATCTAGCAAGCATGAAATTGCTGCCATCAAGCTATTGCGTCCTACTACTAGTCTGGGAAAGCTCTAGTTGGAGATACCTGGCCAGGGTCTAAGTGCAGTCTAGATGTCTTCTGACTACATAGCCCCTCTAGAACTATCTGGTCACACCAGTTCGGGTGCGTTGTGCTTAGCTGGAGGCATAGCAGTGTGCCTGGAAAGAGCAGATTTTCAAGCATATTTGGGCCTTTTAAGTGTGGGAGGAAGTTCAGCTGAATTTCAGAAGTGCTTTGCTATAAGTAAGCATCTAATTCACTGCTTGTGCTTTTGGAAATGTTACCAAGCACCTATCTGTCTGCATGGGTTGGTGCCTAATTGCCGTTGAAGGTCTGGCAGAGGCAGGCACTGCATTAAAAGCTCCTCACACATTTTAGACCAGTGTGGAGGGATTTGCGCAAGGCGGAGATGAAGAAGACCAGCAGAGTTTTGAGATGCCCATCATGATGAGTACAGAGCACCTTTGTTTTGCTCAATGATTTTTGCTCACTGCTTCACCTGTGATTTTTTTGCTGATGTTGTTTTTTTTTCCTGATTTAGCAAGGAATTCTTGGATCTTCCAGAAGAACTTTTACCTATATCTGATGATAAATTATCTTGTCTTGTAAGTGCAACACCGTGCACGCTGCTGGCTGGCACTTCTGCTCATTACCATCTTTCATGGATCACCTTGTTGGCTTCCTCTCCCATCATTACCTCTTTCCCTATGATAACCTCCTTGACATTGTCTTACTGATATTTTCTTAGCCTTCCTGGACACTTTTCTTACCGCTGTCACGCACAGGCTTGCAATGAATATTTCCCCAATCCCATGTGACAGATAATAATGTTTTTCTTAATTGCTAATCACGTCTATTAGTGAGTTACTTGCAGGAGAACAGTTAATTCCAGACCGCTTAGGTATTCTGCAGCAGGGCTGAGGGTACGTGCCATGCTTCCCAGGGCAGCTCCTGAGCCTCAAAGCCTGGTGAGCTGGTGATCTCTGCACCATCCACACTCTGTGCAGAAGTGATGTAGTTTCATTCCCAGCTCTGAGCAAAGAAAGAGGAAATATTAACCTTATGGAGGAGGTTGACCCCATCCAGCATCACAAGTCGTGTGTAGTGGTTTTGGAGGGGGGAGCACAGACCCTGCATGAAAGGTGAACTTGTAGAGAGGTTGATCTGAGCAAGGGCTTGGCTCAGCAGAGCATCGGGCACAGAGCTGCTGGTACAGGTCCCTCTGAGGATGTCTCACCTGCTCCTGGGCAGGCAGTGGAGCCTCATTGATGCCCCTGGCTGCAGTGGGTTGCTTGTTTTTAATACCCTTGACAGAGCGCAGCAGGATTTCCTTGGCTCAGACAATGTCAGAAACTCAGATACAGCCTCTTATATTAGATAAAGGTGGTGGGGTGACCCTCAAACCCAGGCAGTACCGGCAACTGCATGGAACTGAGATGAAGGCAGAAGTAGAGACTGAGAGCTGAAGGCGTCCGCATGGCACAGCCTGATGGGGAGATAAGCACAGGGATGGGGTAAAATGAAGCAGTGAGCGTTTGTAAATGGGACTCCTCTGGCACTGAGCATGACTGCCTGAAAACTCCCATACTTCCTCTGAACAGCTGCTTTCTCTGTGCTAAATAAATCATGCATCTTGTTACCTTACCCTGTACGCACGGAAAAGATGTGTCTGAGCAAAAAAGCGTGGAGCCCTTCCAGGTCTTTGGTTTTCGCACCAGCCCGTGCCTCTCTTGTGTCAGTTCCTGATCAGGTTTATCTTCCATCCTCCCAGTTCCTCTGCTCCCAAACCAGTCTGGTACAGCTCTGGCTCTGGGTCAGCCATCAGTGGTGACTCCAGGCCTGAGATTTGCAGTGGAGGAGCCTGATAAGAAACCTAAGAGCAGGTTTGTGCTCAATGGGGTGTTGTGGAGGTGCTCAAGGAGACTCAGACCATCCCCACTGGTGTCCCTGCCACAGCCCTCATCCCTTCAAGGATGCTCTTCTTGCTCCTCAAAAACTCGCTGAGGGTGGTACAGGCTGCATTGGGGGGTGCAAAGGGCACAGCTGTATTTCAGGTATGAGTGAGTCGAGGCAGCAGGTCCTCAGAGAGGACCTCTGCAGCGCTCCGTTAGCATCAGGGGGTATTTCTGTGGTGTGCACCAAGCCACGAGTGTCCTTTTTGCTGTTAAGCACCACCAATGTTAATCTGGGAGGGAGCGGGAGGCGTGCTCGCTCGAGGAAGATGTGGGAAACCAATTACAAGTTCTTATATAAATCCAAATGTGTCTTCCTAAATATGCCGCCTCTCAAAATGAGGCTGAGATTTAGCTTTCACAATAAGCCTGAACTGTGAACTTTTTAATTTGCACATGGTTTCAGGAAATCTAACTCATCCTATCAGGGAAGGGAAAAAAAAAAAGCCACTTAAAAAAGAAATGCTCTTTTGCTTGTTTCTTTATTCCAGAGCAGAGTAATTTATGTACTCATTTAATTTTGTTCTGCCACAAACAAAACCACAGTATATAACGTGATCTCTGCTGCTGGAACGCTTATTGTTGGAAGGACATCGGAGAAGACATAAATGTCCCTGACACAAAAGAAGATCCCAGGTTTCAGAGAGATCACGCAGATGGGAAAATATGGGGGGTTTGTCTAAATTTATGAGTGGGCCTTTGTTCTTTGCTTTATAGTATGATAGCATAATAATCTTTTAAAACCACAGTAAGAGCCAGGTACCTGAGAGATTGGTGCTTCATAAATACTTAAACAGATAGACCGCTATGAAAACCTTTTGTTCTGCTGCCTTTTTGCCCATTGTTACTTTTGCTCCAACAATGCAGGGAAAAAACCCCATCTAATAAGTGAAAACCATTTGTGTTTGGAGGTGAGGTGGGGAGTGTTTTCAGAGGAGTATCTGCCAAAACAAAGAGCTCTGTATTATGCACGTAAACTACAGAAGCAACATGCTGGTTTTGTGTATATCTGCATAAGAGACACTGGAAATCTCCCAGCCAGCCAGTGAAACAGCTGTATTCCATCATTCCAATAGCATCTGACAGCTGTATTTCACAACTTCAGGAATGTTAAAGAAAAACCCAACCCTTCCATGCTGCTGAACTGAAAAAAAGCCCACAACATGTGAATGAACTCAAGTTGGACAGTGGGTATTGACTAAGTTATCACTAATGTCACCGTTTCATCCACCAACAGTGGGATGCTGATAAACCCCAGAGGTGGCTGAGCTCACTGGAAGGATGCAGAGAAGCAGCCCCATGCCCTGGCTCCCCAGCAAAGCAACCCCGACTCTACCTCAGTTTCCCTATTAAAAAGGGGAGAGCATAACACGGCGGTCTCCCACATTAGGATCTTGAGAGGAAAGGATGTTACTACTGTGCTATAGTGAACACTGCTTTTGTTTGACATTAGTTTTGAAAACTATTTCATTTTCGTTCTTTCTCTTGCCAGAAACACCAAATAAAAGGACAAAAGTTGGGACGAGCGGGGATAAAGCACCTTTTGCATCATAATGAACTGTATGTCACACAGACATGTTATATCCATGTACAGCGGATAAGGCTGGAGCTGGCATCTGGGTTAGAAGATGTGTTTTGAAGCACAAATACGTTGGAAAATGGTGCTGCGATCGCTGCATTCATCTGGTGGGTGAGTCGCTGGCAGCTCCTTCCCTTGGTCTGTCTGTGGGGCTGCGATTTTCCCAAGTGATGTGGAATGGGCTCAGTTAATGGACAGATGGGACCTTGCACACAGAAAAAAATGTGTTTTATTTAAAAACTGAGCTTCAATTACCAAAGGGAAGAAAATTAACTGCAGGAAGATGAAATAAACACCCTTCTTTGGGGTCAAACAGGCGTTACAGTGGTGTGATGTAAAAGCCAGATCTCACACTGACTTAGGGGACTTTGCAGGCAGCTCCAAAGCTCAGAGTTGGTCTTTCCCAGTCATTAATAAAAGACAAAGCCAACATTTGCTTTTATAAACCAAAGAATAACTCATCATTTCATTCGTTGTTTGGGGTATTGTTTTTTTTTGGTAGGGATGTGCCAATTTGTCAAGCCCTTAATTTTTGGCAAGAATTTATCTGTGTTGAGACAACTGCTGTTGGCAAAAGCTAATTCCATGTACTGATGGAATTCGGAGGCAAAGTAGGAAAAAGAGACCAAAAAGAGAGAAGGCGCATCCCCAGCAACCTTATCAGTGAGAAACAGGAGAGAGCCAGAGTCAAGCTGCTGTGCCAATAAAATATTAATTATTCATACAAATTCTCATGGAGAACAGACAAAAACCAACCCCTGGGTGACCATGAGCTTCCTCAGCACCAGCCAGGTGGGAAGCTGGCTGGGCAGCTGGGTGCTGGGAGGTGTTTGGCTTTTCCAAGAGCTCCTGGAGCTGGAGGGGGTTGAGGATGCAGGGAGGGTAAATGGGGTGCATGGCTTGGTCAGTTTGGCTTCATCCCAGGAAAACAAAGCATCTGCGGGAGGAGAAAACCTGGTTGACCTGGCTCTTGTCACAGGGTACTGTCCAGTCGTTTGGTTTGAGATCAGATTTTGGCCCAAAGCAAACCTGAAATCAATACAAATAATGCTCCAATTGGGTCAATAATCTGCGTTTTTAGGGTTTCTTTTAATATTATTAGAAATATTTATATTACAGTAGCTTGGTATTTTAGAAGGCTAAAAATGCATTTTTATATAATCAGCATTTTTAAAAGTCTATAAACATCCACTATGTTTGCCTAATGTACTATAAAAGCTTCCAAAGGAGCTGTTATTATCCAACTTGTCACCTCACACATGCTCCGAGGAGGAATCTCTCTTTTTTTTCCTTGTCTGCTGTTAATAAAATGAAGCAAACCATTAACAGCTTTGGAGCTGCAAGGAGAAGTAAAGGGGCTTGTAATCTTGGACTCCAAAGGAAACGTCTGCAGCTTTGCTCCTCTCCTCTTTGAGATTCCCCACACGCAACAACAATTTCAAACAGACAAAATCAGTTTAGGTTACATAAATTCAAAAGCCCAGGCCTGCTTCTTTTAAAGTAACATCTTGCATTTTGTTTGGAGCGTTGCAATCTCTCACATAACATTTCGAACTGGTTCAGTTTTACAGCCTGCCGTGCATCTTCCTCAGGCTTCTTTGGTTAAAGGAGCTTTAATGCAGAATGATGATGTGCACGCACACGTGCATTATTATTACATATGCACATGTAGATAGGTATATGTGTATATATGTATGTGTGTAGGTAAATATATATATACATATATATATGCAAAGTCTATCAGGCTGCGGTGGTTGCACATTCAGACTCATCTCTCCCGGCATTCTGCATGCCAAACTCCCAGTGTTATTAGGGCATGGTGCAGGCTCCAAACCAGGTCCTGATAAAAAAGTGCAGTGCCTTTGGGAGAGGAACATGGGTATTTCAGTCCCCGTGAGCTCAAGGGTGAGTGTGGTGTAAAGCAATTAGTGAAGGGAAGAAATCTGTGTGCAAAGAGCAGGTTTGCGCTCTAAACAATCTCTTCATTCACATCTCTGATTTGCTTTTGGTTCATCTCTGTTTATAGTTCGCTCCTGTTCCCAACATATCTTGGTGTCGGGATGGATTCTCAACCCCAGGGAACCTGTCAGGGATGTGATAACAACTCACTCAATCCAAAGAAGGGCACGATTGTGCCTGCGATAGCAGCGGCTCTTAACAGCTCCCCTGCTGCTGGTGGTGGGTTCTGCTGGAGCACGAGGAGCTGCTCCTCAAGGGGACTCTGTGATTTCGGATGGGGCTGAAAATAGAGTGAGAACTTGTCGCTTTTGGCACTTGGGTTCTCAGCCCCCCCACAAGATGCACCCAAGAGGGTAACAGGCAGCGAACTACCCCTGTGCTGGCTGGTATGTTGGCTAAAGCCCCCGCTGGATGTATTTGGGTGGCCCTGGGGTGAGCCAGTATGCAGAAGGGCTTTTGTGGCTTCAGTTGGGAAAGGGCATGGTCTAGGAAAGCATTGAAATTCCAGGATGATGCCCGAGGGGGAGAGGCTTGGACATCCCTGCAGTGATGGAAAAGAGAAGGAATTAAAACCCAAAGGATGTGGTTTGTGCCGCTGCAGGAAATGCTTGGCTGTTCTGCATGGAAATGACCTGAAGGTGCAAAGGGGACATTGGTGGTCACAAGGACCTCGTTGGAGCAGAGGAGTGAGGAGAAGCCTGGTGTCTACTTACTGCTGGTTCCAAGTTTGTACCCTGGGGTCAGACAGAGTGTCCTGAGCACTGCTCTATGTTATGGCCACTACAGTGATGGTGCTGGCACCTCAGAGACACCAGACTTCCTGGGTTTGCTGCCACACACCCATTCCTGGGCTGTCCGAACAGCGCTGCTGGTGTGGAACAGCCTGTCCTTGGGACTGGGCGGGCAGAGGGAAATCCATGTTCCCAGTGTGGGCTCAGGAGAGCTGCCGGCTCAGACAGAGCAAGGGCCAAGGCAGCCCAGGACAGGGAGCAGACACATCAGCCACTGTGGCTATTTCTGGCAGTGCCCTCAGAGCTGGGGAGTTCAGGCATCAGGGCATGGGGAAGCACTGCTGGGACCTCCTGGGAGCCCTTCCCACCTCGTGGCACTGTGGGGTGGTTCCTGCAGGCGTTTCCCATCCTTAGATGACTTGCTGTCAGCTCCCAACAAGTACAACACCCTCAGGCGAGTGTTGCCTGACAGTCTCACGTGATGTCCTAAGTGGAGGTATCCGTCGGGATCAGCATTGCCTGGTCTCTGTGTGGCAGTGCACAGACCCTGTGGCTGGGTGTCTCTATTATGTGTCGTTCCACATTCGTTGACTGCTGATGGGAACAGAGGGTGTTGGGCACCTCATTGGGGTTCCTACCCTGACCCCACATCCACCATCCAAGCAAGCGTTGGCAGGTACTGGTCCCTCCAGCCCCAGTCCCTCAAAGCCTGCCCATGGCAGTGGTCCATCAACATGAGGTGCTCTTGGGATGCAAGGAGGCGACGTGGGCCTTCTGGATGAGGTGGCATGGTATTAGAGAGCTGGTGTGGTTAGGGCAGGAGGGGGCATTGGATCCAGGAGGTGTTCCAGGATGGAGGTCTGCTGCAAATAAGCATTGAATGCAGCCAATGGCGCTTATGTCATCATTTACGTGCTCTCTCAAGGTGACCTCCTCAGGGTTCTGTGGTCCTGACATCTTTACGTTGAAGCTGGGCCTAACTCAAGTTCCTAGGCACATCCACCTGCTTTTCTGGGCGCAAGCCAAAGGCAGTGCCTGTGCTGCCAAAACTGGCCCTCCTCAGTGTACTGCTGGGTGAAGCTTTGGAGGCTGGAAAGCTCCCATGACCCCAAGGACCAGCACACAGCACTCTGTTGGTGACCTGCATTAACTCACCATAACAAGGGGTGTTCTTTAGCTGGCGATGGGACTCCCTAGTGCTCCCCATGTAGGGTGGAAAGAGTCCAATACCATTCCAGCCTTCAACACTGTTGGAGACATGGCTGGACAAGGAGGTACCCAAGACATTATGGTGAGGAACTTGGCCCCAGAGTGAAGTCTTTGAATCCTGGCTCTTCCCTTTTGCGTAAGGCAAAAATCAGGATCCACTGAGCTTCTTCCCCACCTTCTCACCTGGACACCTTTCTACCACAGAGGAAGAATTACAAATGGAAGAAGGTAAAGGAGAGGAAACACATTAATTTGGGTGCGACCCAAAGGTCTTCCGGCACTGACAAGGTCTCCGCTCCACGTCTCCCAACACCGGTGCTTACCAAACATAGCCAGGGCCCCACGAACCCTCGGGCTGGTGGAGAGTAGTAAGATGAGCTCCTGCTGTATTTGGCCTAGCTAAAAATAGCGGGAGGGGAAAAAAAAGGCAGAGTCAGGACCCTGCAGGACCAGTAGTCAATGGGCTGCGAGGAGTGATTGAACTCCAAATACTGCTCCGCAGGCTCCAGCTGACGGGCTATTTTTTGCCGTGGTTGACTAAATATGGTCAGGGAGGGAAGAGCAGGAGAAGGGGCCACTCGCCCGGGAGTGCGTGTTTCGGATGCTTCGCTGGGTATATAAGCACTGGAAAGGTGGACTCGCTTTCTGACCGGCGCTGCCCCCCCCTTCTCCTCCACCAACCTTCTCCCCCCCCCCACACACCCCGGGGTGTGCACCCCCCCCTTTGCCATCCTGACCCCCAACCCGGGGGCTGGATGTGGGGTGGGTGTGAGGAGGATGATGATGAGGAGGAGGAGGATGATGGGGATGGGGAATGGGGGGGGGGGCGCGCAGGCACTTCTGCAGGCGCAGCCCTTTTCGCATCAAGGTGTGCTGCAATCCGGGCGGGCAAGGTTGTTTCTCCTTAACCCGTGCCTTGCTGCGCGGAGCCCCGCGGAGCCGCGCTCCCCCCGCCCCGCCGCTCGCCCCCGCCGCGCCGCGCTGCCTCCGCCGCACCGCGGGGCCGGAGTTGTGGAGGGCTGGGGATGGGGCTGGGGATGGGGAGGGAGCCTTTGCCTGGGGACTCTTGGCTTTATTATTTCGGTCTTTTTTCTCTTCTCCAAGTGAGGACTAATCCCATCCCCGGGCCTGCTCTCTTTCTCCCTTCCTGCATTAGAGATTGGCTATAAGGAGAAGGCTGACGGCTGCAGCATGAAGCGCATTATTACCTTGTGATTCCATGACCCTCCTCTATGCATCCCTAACTCTCGAAAGCTGATTCAGCTTTCAGCTAGTGCTCTGGTGAGTCCTCTGCTGCAACAGAAGCTCCTAACTGGTATGTCTTTTTTTTTTCCTCCTCCTGCTCCCTTGCCTTGCCTTTAACCGCTCCCAGCTCAGCTTGTTTTTAAACACTTTTCCTGGCCAATGCAGGACTAAGCGCCCATCCAACTTACCCGGGGACTTAAATCTGGGCTTTTGCATCTGGCAAATGTATGTGTGTGTGTGTGTGTGTGTGTGTGTTGCCTGTGTGTGTCTGTGCAGGGATGTGCTGGGTGTGTGTTTCATGTGGGGATGGGTTAAGAGACCTTCCCCCCCCCCCCTTCTTTTTTGTTCTGCTGTGGCATACTCTGCATATAAAAAAAACCCCAACAAAACCAAACCCGAACAAACTGCAGAGCAAGCAGTGCACTAGAATAATCTGAACTGAAATGTTAGAACTTTGACATGCAGCCGTTCTGCAAGGTTAAACTGGCCTTTAAATGCCTAATTCAGACACAGGCTGCTAATGACACCTGGGGGGATTGGGGCTTTATTTATTTATTTGCAACAAACTAGTGCTATGAGCTAATACCAGGCAGAGCAAAAGGGTGAAATGTGGTTAAACTTAGCCTAAACTTGCAATGATCTCAGTGCTGGGGGGATTAACTGTTAAAATGCTGAGAAATGGACATTAATTACAGGCATGTGGTTTGTGGACTAGCAGAAGGGGAATAGGAGGACGAGAAGTTAGGTTTTCCCTGCAAGGGTTTGGAATTCAGGTTACATGAAGTGTAACATCAATTGACTGTTACAGCTTCTGCAGCTCAGAGTTGACTGTGGTCATATTTTACATGATAGTGGTGATACCTTGTCACATAAATATATAGGCATCGGTATTGTGAGATGGATACTGTGACACATACATGCGCACAGATTTAAGTGTGTTCTATAGCATGCATATGGATATTTTATACATAGTAATATGCAAGTGCTATCTATTAGCAGGTGTAACGTATCATCCACGTAGAAGCATCTCCAGGCTGTGTTCAGAATATGGGTATGGGTTTATGTCTGTGCCGGGGAGAGCGTACACTCAGCAGTAGTGTGTAATTGTATAGGCAGAGATCTGTGATCTGTGCTGCCAGTTTAATTGCTGGGTTTCTCTCGATGGTTGTGTCAGTGTCTCTCAAGGACTGAATCCCCTGCCCAGCCCAGCCCTTTGGCCTAGGGCTGTGCTGGGGCAAGCACATGCCTCTGCCTAGGTCCTGCTTGTTTCTCCCTTCCCCAGCACTCAGCCCTAAACACAGGCTCTCTCCAAAGTCCCCAAAGTTTTGTGCTTGACTTTGCCACCAGGACCTGAGCAGCACCTCGAGCAGAGCAGGTATATAATACAATATACAGCACCTTGCTTTCCACTCCTCCCACCATCCTCCTCCCCCTTCACCTCCAGGCAATACCTCAGGCTCTTCCCTTTTCTCTGCCCCTCGGCCTTGGCACTGTCCATGTCTCCATCCATTTTTCTCCCCAGGGAATTTTACTTCCCAGGTTTTTCTGCTGGGAGCAAGCCTAAGAGCACAGCGAGCCTAGGGTGGGTAGAGGACGTTGGATGACGTTCACCCACCACCACTTGCTCCTGGTGGTAGCTGCAGGATGGGAGCCACAGGGTGCCTCTGGCGTCACCATTAAAAGCACCATTACGCCATTTATCTGCTCCTTCCAAACCCTGGAAAGCACCAGCTTCCACACGGAGCCTCAAGGCAAATTGAAATGTCCAGGATGAACTTTTCCTGCCAGGTTTGTGGCATTGTCTTCAGTTTTAAAAGGTCATTTTTCTTTAGCTCTTATATAGTGCTCTTTTAGTGGCTGGCAGTTACTGTCCCACTCGTTGCAGAAGTTGGGGGCTGATCTTGACAGACTATATCAGATGTATTAGATGAAAGCAAACTGGGTATGAGTTGCAGGTGTTTAATGGTCCAAGAAGTCCAGTCGCTCTCCTACTGTTACCAGTCTGAAGGAAACTCAGTACCATGGAGTGCCTTGGCTGCACAAAACCCCCCACCAGCACTTTGATTTTTGTTGGGTTTGGGTTTTAGTTTTGAATCTTAAGCACTCAGACTTTCCCTCACACTCCTCAGCTCTCTCTTTGCTTTAATTTCACTGCAGTCATGCATTACAATGGTGCCACAGCTCCATCTCTCTTCCCCTTAATCCAAACTAAAGGTAGAAATTTGCCTTGGAGTGAGGCAAATAATGATGGTTAAAAAGGCCAACAAACTCAGGGAATGGGGAGAGCTGCAGCGAGCCAGGACCAAAGCTTTTGCTGGTGTTGTATGAGTGGTGTAAAGCCATTTTGGGGGCTGAGAACAGTAGATTTACACCCCGGCTCCGCATGGCCTTTGCTTTTTTTGTGGTGCTAGAAGTCAGAGGGTAGCAGGGAAATATTTACTCCCCGTCTGGCAGTGATATTTTATAAAGCAGTGGAAAAGCATCGATGCAATTAGGTATTCCAAAGTGCTTAGTTTGCCACTTGCTAAGTTTACTTAAACCCTCTTTAAAGGGTTCATTAGAAGCCTGTGAGAAACGGTAAAATTCATTAACACCAAGGCAGCCATTCCGCATTTGCCTGTAAATTGGCATCGATCGTGGCGAGGGGCGGCGGGCGCAGGTGAGCTCGCCCTGCCCTCCGTGCTGAGCGAGCAGGCAGCGAGCAGGCAGCGCCCGGCGTGACCTCCGCCGTCGCTCCCTGCCTAAATCCTGCCTATAATAGTCCCCCATTCAGCCCGGGCGGCGTTTGCAGCCCTGCCACTCGGCCCACATTGTTCCAGGAGCTTTAAAGCTCAGCGCTGCTGCGGGGAGGCGAGGGACAGGGGGAGAGCTCGTGGCTGCCTGCAGGATCCAGCCCCATGGGTGCACGAGCAACCCCACAGGGCTGTGGGAATAACTCAGAGAGACTTTGGTCCGAGCTCCCAGCACCTTGCTTTGGCTGCCTTTTCCGTCGTGCGTCTGCAGGTGTATCCCCGAAACCCTTTAGCATGGAGCTACCGGAGGAGTTATTAGAAGCATCTTAATATTTCTTGTTTTCCAATACCCTGAACTCCCCAAAAGGCATGTGCTGTCTTTTTGGGTTTGCTTATCTGCGAGGTAATGTCTCACTCACAGTGACCAGCAGAGGAAAAATCATTGGATTAGCTAGGTAAGATGCTTTCTTCTTCCTATGCTTTAATCTGTACTTACTGATGAAAGCAATTGCTTGTCTGGGGCTGATGAGTTTTCTTACTCTGGCAAATGGAGCAGTCCTTCCCGGTGTCGGTCTGTAAATCAGTAGCTGGCCATTTGATTTTGAGCTTTCTGAAAACAAATTGGCTTTTTGTTTCCAAATTGCAATTGGAGGCAATTGGGAAATACTAGGTATTCAACTTTCCCCCACATGGCTTTGTCTGCAATTATCTCTATATGCATATAAAGCAAATCCTTTCCACTAAACCACATTTTGGTCTTTTAAATTGCTGAAAGTTTACCATTTTGAATGAAACATCTACTTTTGAGGTGGAGTGGGAGGTTGGCTTTGACTCTGTGCTGTTTATGTGACAAAGAGCCCCTGCCAGGGCAGCCACCGGAGCGCTGCTGCTTTGTGACCGGTGAATTATCCAGTTCCTCTTCCCAGGGACCAAAATCCATCACCTGCCGAGGGCAAAGCCTGGAATTACCAGTGAGGAGCAGGAGCTGGGGGGGTGTGTGTGTGTGTATGTGTGTGTCTGCACATGGGCTGGGCAGGAGGAAAGTCTGCTGGTTTAAACTGAGCCGTAACTCGCTCTCAGGATGTAGATTGTAAATCAGCGTTATTTTTCCTCCTGTGACCATATAAATGCGCATATTGAAACTACCTGCTTGAGAGACATACTTCTTTATATGCCCATATGAACCTGGCAAGCTATGGAATGTAAAGAAGTATGTATTTCAGGTGGGAACCCTTCTCAGAGGAGCGATGTGTGACCCTGGGCAAAGCAGGGGAGAAAGACAGACACATTATTTGATATTATTTCTTATTTAACTGCCTGACCTGGCAGCCCGAGTGGGGAGTCAGTTGATGGTCTTGTTCCAGCGCGTGTATTGTTCTGTCACTTTGCCTGTGTCAGCAGGTGGAAATGCTCATCAGGACATTAAATATTCAATATGCTGACTGCGGCATGGGCTTTGAAAGGCGATGCCAGAGGAAAGCTGGCTGGCCGCTCCTGGGTTTTAACAGGGATGCAGGCCAATCGCTCCTTTTTCCTGCTTCCCCAACAACCCTTTCCCCCCACCTCAAAACCAGGGCAATAGGTAGCAAACAGAGCTGGCTGATCTTTAAATATAGGAGAAACAAAAGGAGATGGAGGTGGAAGGAGAAGAGAGAGAAAAAGGATCCAACAGTTGTGACTCGGGTGTGCAGTGTTCCAGCTTTGAATTAACGTGCAAATTCCGCTTCTCCAGTCTTTCCCACGTTAAAACTTTTTGTGCTTGAAACTGGAGAGAAGGAGATCTTCCCTATTGGTGTGGTGAGTCTGCAGATCACAGCTAAAGCCAGAGGAGTGCTCTTGGATATAAGGGTCTTATTTCCCAAAGGAAAATAAGAAAACGAGCTCCTTTAGTTCTGGAAGCCTTCACTGGCTTTTGCTTTTCCTTGTTAACCTTTTGCAATGTAAAATAGTTGGGTGCTTTTTCAGGATCCTACAATAATGAGGCAAGATGAAAGGAGCTGGGTTTTAACACACAGGTGGGAGTTGCATCTGAGGGTTTAAAGTTTTCAGCCCCAAACATCCTCACTCTTCTGTGATGCCTGTAACACCAGGCAAAGCTGAACTCCTCAGATAGCAGCTCCCCAGCTGCCCAAACTCACGTTCCCATCTCCATGGGGCAGCTGAGAGCAGCGTTTTGATTTTGGGTGATTTCCCAGCAATTGCAACAGCCCTCTTCATTTGGCTAACGGGCTCCTGAGGCATCGTTTGATAGGTGTGATGCCTCCACATCCTGCACCAAGGTTAACCAAGCCTTACCCATCACAGCACCCTCTCCTAGGCATGGGGAGAGGACGAGACT